CCCCAAAACCCCAAAACCCCAAAACCCCTTTGGCATTATAAGATTTTGATGATTATAAAATGAATATTATCCTTCTTGGTTAAAAATACTAAAGTTATTACCACAAAGTTGTCCAGCCTTGTCTGAGACCTCAGATTATGAGCAGTCTTACGATCTAAGAACCCTCAAGAGAAGATGCTAACACTGCTAGTATCTAGATTTTGGATAGTTTAAGATTCATTAGGCCATTGGAAAAGGAAATGGATGCTTGTAGTAATCATACCTTCTCAATCGTTAGCGTATCATATTTAGACTGCAGATCATTTGTGATTGAAATAAACATTTAGACCAGGAATGGAACAAAAAATTAGGATTTTTACTTTTAGCCTTCATTCAGACCTGGAGTAAAAGTAATATTTTTGTTGCCTAAGAATTATAAAGACAAATTATAACGACCCTTATCCACACAAGTTTTTACTTTTAAATAGCTCCTCGATCCATAGCAGCTTAAAAAATCCCTTCTCAAGAGGACATCTGAAAGCATTAGTTTATGTTGACAAGTTTAAAAGGTGTAAAATGTCAGTTAACGAGATTTTATGATAGCTAGCATACATTATAACGATGCTATAATCCCCTCTTGTGAGGAAATATTTTCACATGGAAATAGCTTAAGGGGCTAGATAATTCATCAAACTCCTAACTTTGGACTTTATTCTGATTCCACAAGCCATGCTTTAGTCATGAACAAACAGTCTGCTTAAAATATCAAGAATTTATTCACATAAAATAAGATAGGATTCCTTTGACAAATATTTTCAGATAAACCCTAAATTTATGGGTGAGCATTTCCCTGCCTAGCAAGCTTGCAATGGCTCTATATCTTAGAGAGGTTAATTGGACAAACAAGCCTCTCCTTCACAAGCCAGGTTTAAGTGTTGTCATAAAACAATATTTCTACAGGACTTCTCTGTTCTTTAACACTTGCTTTCGTAAATAATAAAGGAATAAATTTTCATATTTAGAATTAATTTTTACTATGAAAAATATAGATGGAGGGATCTAGGAAAAATTTTGTCATCTTTACTTGGCTATATCTATTGACAACACTCTTGCTAAATATTTTCTCAGTTGTGGGAGGACTATATAGTCTAACTCAAGAAATGAAGCTGAAATTTGCCAAATATTCCTCCTTCCACCTGTATACCCGGGTATGGTGCAAAGAGCATTTAGGAAATCTCCACTTGAAGCTTTTAGCTCCATAATTATTTCCCATTTTAAATGCTATTTTCATCAAGGGTGACCTCATTGGTTCTGGCTTTAACCTATTCTTATTGTAATTCTTAGCCATGAACTGCTCATCTTTTCCAACATATTTTGAATTTTTCATTCACAAACCTGTATTGGGGTACTAGTGAGTAGGTACTTTAGGTCAAGCCTTAAGGACTGCAGTAAACCTAAAACAGGTGCTTAGTTTTCACCCAAGTCTTTTGGCCCAGTAAGCTCTTTGGGTATTCTGAAGATAAACCTAGCATCTGCTACTCATAATTTGCAAGGAATTAAGAATGTTTTGACTTATTTTCATAATTCACGGGGTCTTAATTTTTTAGAAAAATAGGAAGTTATTATAAACACAGAGGAGGTAATATTTTAGGCTTAATGCTGAGAGTTCTGATTCTTTAGTCTTGGCAAGAGGATATTTGAGCAAAGACCAAGAGGCTATATTTAGCATTCAAGTTTGGGTGTCGTAATGAAAATTTTTATCATATTTATTAAATCTGATATTTTAATGCCACCTCAGACTGCTTAAATAGAAGGTAATTAAGTGGAAATAGCCAAATTGTTCAGAAATCAATCTCAATAACCTCTCTTCAACTATCTGTAAGCCGATTCATAATTTGAAAAATTGTGTATAAAAACTCTGAAATATTGTTCAAAGTTTATGATAAATATTAAATAAATTTTCAGCATATGAATCCTCCTACCCTCAAAATTAGTATCAGCTGTTTTACGCAACCTGAGTTCTTTACTGCACTATGCTGGTTATTTTAATCGCACCGCTTCCTAGGATGCTTTTTGCTAACCCTGAACACTTGTAGGATTCTCAAAATAGTAAAAACCTCAAAAATTACGATTTAACGGAATAAATTGCTATCCTAAAATCTGAGAAAGTTCCATGCCTAGTTTACTTTGGTAAGTTATTTCCGCACTTATACGACCACTCCTTTTAATTTCCTGCTTCGGCCTCCCAGCTAAGAAATATCCAGAGATGTTAAAATTATTTAGATAAACTCTTTGTGAAATCTAGAGCTCTGAGTGCAGATGACATATTGGGATATTATAAGTTCCATAAAAATGTGGGAAGTCAGTAATCTCAGAACTCCCTTTTCGTAACGTCTTAAAGAGTTGTCCAGACATTGCTTCAAGCCAGATTAGCAGCATAGCCTTGTTGAAGACTATTGTTTCTATCATATTTTGAAAATTCACAACTAGATTTTAAAAATAACTCTATTTAATTGCCATGAACAAGGTTGCTATATTTTCATCATATTTGGATGGCCTACTGAACAACTTATAAGAATAGGATCTAGCTGAACTGCTTTTAGATATTTGTCCGACTCTACGCAGGTCATCTGCTCTGAGTAATTGAATTTTTAGATGAGCTCCATTAAACTGTGGGGATTTTTCATTAGTGTTATAAGCATAGGTCTAATATAAACCTGGAAATACTTTATTCATGGATGAGAAATCCATAACTCCTCTTCAGTATTGAAGGCTTTACTTTCGCCTGAGCAAGTATGCTTAATGTATACTCACTTTTATATATCTATATCTATGAGTCTTAAGAAGCTTGGCTTACCTCTTGTCGATTCAAACGATTTCAATTATCAAACATTAATAATTCTCTTTGAGGCATATCAGCTATTCCTAGTTATTAAAACTTGAATTCTGCAATGAATCTCAAAGTTTGGTGGCTAATTAATAAAAAGATGCTCAATAGTCTAGAGTTTAAGACATAAATAAGCCAGTCAAAATATTCTAAACTTTATGCCTCCCAAGTGCTAATGATTCAGAAGGAATTATTAAGTTATTTTTATTATGGAACTAGAACCTTAAAAGTCTTTGCTTATCCTAATTGAGATAGAGCTTAAAATGCTTCTTTAAATCACTAAGAATTATTCTTATTTCGTTAACTTTTTAAAACTTTATTAGCTGATCTCTTGACGATTTCTTATCCTACGTCCTTATCTTAGATGTACGAGGAGACACCCATCTGCTACTATTTAAAGAGAAGTTTATTCAGATAATTTATATAATTAAAATAAAAATGGATATTATTTCTTTACTTTCCTGTCAAAGGAACGACTCGAGTACCACTAATGATAAACTGGCTTTTGTGAAGCCGACTGAACTTTCAACCTTTGAAGAACCTTCGATAGCTGAGCTTGCCAGATCTTATTGCTTGTGTGACTATGACATGCCATGTTATGGACACAGAGAGACACCAACCTCATTTGCTCCTTCGAGCTTTGAGTTTAAGTCTTGATTCAATACCAGTCTTCAAGGGTATCCAGAATTGCAAAATCAAAGTAGATATAGCAACTCTACAGGAGTGTCATCAAGAGGAGATAGGACAATTTATCTCCAGTCAAAATTAGCCAGACTGCATCAATACTTAGAGAACATTGACGATCCCTTCAAAATTCTTGTGTTCAGAAAACCCAAAGTAAACTGTAGAACTTCAAGAATTAGTACAAGAAGGTCTCGCTACACCGGAGTCTTCAAGAATGGTTTGAAGTGGCAAGCCCTTATCAATATCGGCAACAAGAAGACCTACATTCAGACCTATTCAACCCAAGAAGAGGCAGCCAGAGCCTTTGACTTGATATCCTTACTCATGAACAGAAAGAAGGCAGTGACGAACTACAGTTACTCGAAGGAAGACATTTTTTCATTGTTCTCAGAGTATTCAGACATAGTTAATAAATTTTGCTCATAATGGATTTCTATCATGATATTAGCCTCCGGGGTTTTGGGGTTTTGGGGTTTTGGGG